CACCTTTGGTGTTATTTTTCATGAATTTTTTATTATGTTTGGTTTTTATTGAATTTCGAATTAATATGTTATTATTGCCATGGTGTTTACATGTGTTTGTAGGTTTGTGTGTGTAAAATGCGGGCAAGGTTTGCATATTAAGTATATAATAGAATTTTGATTTTGGAAAGTTGTAAAATATTTCATTTTTGTTTTTGTTTATTTAAAGTTTTGAATTGAATTTTTTAGAATATCAAAAGTAAATAAATAGAGTAAAAAACGTATTTGAATGAAAAACATGAAGAAATAAACCAGAAAGAAAGAAAAGAAAGAGAGTAGAAACATCATTACAATCAAATATATTAAAGTTCAATAAATAGAAGTTTGGCAAATTCAATGAAGATGGAAATTTTCCATTTATTTTGATATATTTTTAGTTTTTCTTTTTTTTTTTTTTTGTAATTCAAGAGATATGCTTTAAGTAGTAATTAAATAAAATGACATAAAATTCTGTTCAGTAGTTAAACTTTCAACATAACATATGCATTACATACATACATTAAACATATATTGATAACATTTATAAAAAAAAGAGCATAACGATATTAATTGTAATTATTTAAGTACCAGGCGCATCATAGACGGTTGATAAGTCTATTTTAAATGAACCCACAAGCGTACCAGAACGTAGAAACTTCCTTGATTGTATGACCTGATATGTTCATTAAGTTAAGGGTAATAATAAAAATTTTTTAATATTTCTTAGTTTGTTAATATAAGTATTTGTTTCTAATTTTTTGAAATAAATGTGTGATTTATAAGGAAATTTTAATTAAATTAATGACTTGATTTTATAAAGATTTAAAATATTTCTTAAGAATAATAAATCGATATAAGACAGATAATATAAAAGAGAATTTTAAAAACCATGTAACATCAGTTAATAATTATATAGAAACCTATGATTTTTTGAAAGAAAACATCTTCAAGCAGTATGTGATAGAATATTATGACAACATGACTTTTAGTTAATAAATCAGAATGGTTTTTTTACATGGATTGGATGGTTTAAGTGAAGGCAGAGTTCCAACAGTAGTCCAATTACCATTTTGTTATAACAGACTTTGATATGCGACTCCAAGTAAAGACTTTATTTTAAGAATTCATATTTATGATATCCGTTAAACAAATTAGTCCGTAGACAACTGCAGTGGAATGTATCAATCTTCTCAGACCTACATATCAGCAAAGGAATATTCAGTTATTTCTTTTACAACATCTTTCTTCTAACTGCTGCAGTTCTGATTGTACAAAATCTGGAATTTTCTACAGTGACTACAGTAGAAGTTCTGCGATAAAGTCAATCTGCTAAAGGAGTTGAAAGCCCTATCTCAGACAGCTCACAATATAAACGGTTTTTTGAAAAGTTTTGAAAGTAAATGTGAAATAGTCTTAATTTTTTAATAAAATTAGTCAAAATAGTCTACCGCAACTTCAACACAATTATTTCAGGGATCCTTTAATAATTTTATACCATGTCCGTAATGATTTTTCGGAAGCTTTGCAATATACTGTTCCACCCTTTCCATGAAGGAATAGGTTCAAATTTTTGAAGAAGAAAAAGCTAGACGGATCCAGATCTGGGAAATATGGTGTGTGTTCAAGCAATTCGTATAAATTTTTTTGCCGATGTTTCTGACTTTATCTGCTTAGAGCTGAATAATTAACTTCAGTCCACTACAAAGGTTTTTTAGTTAAGGATCATGATGGTAGATTCAGGTCTCATCCATAGTTATAAAACGACAAACAAAATTAATTTTACTCTGCTCAAAATGCTGCAGGTTACTACGAATAATTTCTTTTCAATTCAATTTTTATTGAATTCTTAATGAATACGGTACTAACTTTCTGAATAGCTTCTACATACGTAATTCTTTTTTAGAAATATAGACTAGTCGTTCGTCTGAAACTCCAATGGTTTAAGTAATTTTGAGCTTATTCAAATTTGTATCTCTACGAATACTGTCGTGGATTTTGTCAATGATTTATGGTATTGTTGCACTTTTTGGACGGTCACTAGGTGGTTCATTTTTAATAGTTGTACGCAGACGTTTAAACTCTATAATCCATCGATGAATAGTTGGAAATGAAGTTGGAAATGAATTTATGTTACCATTTTAAGAAATCACTGATACGTCAGCTTCAAATGGGTTGTAAAAAGAATTAAATTCACAGATCGAAATTATCATCTGTATATTCAGATAAAAGATGAAATGTCAAAATGGCCTGTATATAAGTCAACCTGTATATAAAGTATTGGATGAAGTGTTATCATTATTGTATTGAATTCAATAGTGTTTAGTTCAAAAGCGAGAAAATAAATGTTGAACATTTTAAAATATGTTATCATTATTCGATTGTTTTATCAAAAATTCCAGATATTATGTATATCATATATTGAGGTATATTGATTTATAAGTCTTTTCTAAAACAAAATTTTAATTTAATATCTAAAGTTCAATTCAATGCCTTAAGGATTTTTAACGTAACAGTGATTTAAATAGAACGAAAAGAGACATTTTGTTAATAAATGAATACAAGAGGTAAAAAATATAATTGATATTTTTTTTCTTTCTCTCTCTCCATAGCCAAAGTAATACTTTCTTTTGAAGTCAATAAAAAAAAATAAATTTATATTAATTTTTATATTCCTAGACATTTTTGTGTAAACTATTAACTTTTATCATATTATTAAGATTTTTTAATTATTTTTATTACTAACTATTCTAAAAATAAGTAATTCATTTAGAAATTCATTAAGAAATCAATTTTAATTTCTTGATAATAAGTAATTTAAAATTTTAGGTATTATGACAAAAAAACTATCTTCAAATAGAAATGTAATTAATAGGCATTGTACAATTTTTACCTACATATTTTTTAATAACCGACTTTTTAGTTTGGAGAAATTAAAAGCGTTTTTTTCAACCTTTGAACTATGCAGTCAATTTTTCCATCAAACATTACGTTTTCAAGGTAAAGCACTTCTACTCGTATGTGTAAGAAGATTATTGACGATTATTATAGCTAATCGTTGATTACTCAAACCATTAAGTTTTCTTCTTTTGTAAATGAAACAAAACACAATTCAGTAATTGTGCTTGGCAGGTGACTAATTAATTTAATAATTATAACTTGAAATCAAATATCCTTCCGCATATACAATTCCCAGTCACGTTTGCAATAGTTGAGTTATCAGAAAATGAGAAAAGGTAGCTGTACTGGGAGCAAAACTTATTGATTTATGCGTTCAACTAATTTGTTGAAGATTTTTATAATGAAGTTGATGGCTTTCTTTCAAAGAATAGAAAATGTCATTTAAAAAGTTTGTGGCAATAAATAAATAAAACCAATTAAGGACTTGGCCTTTACTAATTAGTTAAGCCAGAAGTTAAGTTTTGTTTTCCCAGAACTTGTAACTTTTCAAGCTGTTCGATTAAGTGACCTATACAATATTTATGCTTTAAATTAGTGGCTTTCTTGGAATTTTTATTAAAATTATATTTACTTAAAAATTTGATACAGTTCAAAGTGATGTTAAAGTATACATTTGCTTTTATTTACGAAGTTGTGATTTTATAATTAAGAATTTGAAAAGTTTGCGGCTTATGATATTATCAGTCAAATTCTATTTACTTAGGGACCTGCCATTATTTCGCAATAGTTTTTTTTTTAAATGTTAACATTTAATCCTTCCTGTATTGTCTTGTGGCATTATTAACTAATTTTTTGCCGTACTGTCTGCAAGCAGCATCCCTAATCGACACCAGTAAAAACAGACTAAAACACAAACTTTTGTCGGTTATAAGCTCATTCAGGTGTCTCCTTGCCTAAGGACACATTTGTTTAAATGTGTGTGCGTGTGGAGGTGTGGTTGTGTACATTTAAACTGCTGAAGTAATTTACCAAAATATACCAAGTTGGAGCTCCACTTTTGTAATTTGTTTTAATTGAATAATTACAATGTTTGTGGATAATTAGTTTCATTTCGCAAACAAACTTACTTACCGACAACGTTATAATTTTATCGAATAACATGACTGGTGGCATATGGAAATCAAAAACAAAATACTGTAAATATAAATTTTTATTAGTGACATTAAGATTTGTTGCTTAGGTAATAAATAGGCAATCTTAAATTACCTCATTATAGTAAGGACAATTTGTGCTCTCCTTCACACTTGTGTATTTTTTTTGATCTCCGACTTGTATGCAAACTACAGGATCCATATTTAAGCCTGGTAATTGTCGTGCTTCAATTATTGTGATGCATACTTGAAAATCTTGAGATTTCAAATGGTCCGCTGTGCGTGTCATTGCCTTAATCCTTTTCAAATGAAATGATACGAAAAAGATTAAATATTTTTGGCAATTCCAATGAAAGCATTGGTACTTCAATTTACATTTTGCCTTGATCGAAATGTTGCAACTCTTCCATATCACTTGATTGATTCGATTGTTCACTGTCAACTGCACCAGGTGTACCACTTAATAGTTGACGTTGTTGTTGGGCATCATCAGTTTCACCTTCAGTGGCAGTTGTCGTTGCCAGTGTGCCGTCAGTTTCGAATATTAATGGAGATCTATTTACACAAAAGGACATAAAATTCAAAAAAGTTATACATAAATTTACGAATTTGCACGTACATTAAGGCAAATGTAAGGCAAGAAAATTTATATTATGCATTAATGGAATATTGAAGGAAAGATTGGTCCGCAAAATAAACAAATATAAAATATATATAAGTATGCAAAAATTTATATGTTGGTCATAGATTTATGTACCTTTACAAAGGTTTATGAGAATAAAACTTCGTTTAAAGTTTGAGAATTACACGCGTATGTCAGCACTAATAGGTTAATATTATTCTATAAATCTAATATAAATTAGTTTCGTCTAATAAGGTGCACAATTAATATAAATCAGATAAAAATTTAGCTTTCCAAATAACAGTTTCTTATCTCAAGTCCTGTTGTGCTTATGTTTTATAATTCATAATTTGCAATTTATGCTGTCGTACATAAGTTGTCTGCAAATTAATCCTGCTGAAAATAATGAAATGCGAATTTTTACAAATGCGGATTAGAAGTTCTTAGTCCTACTTTTTGTCGTTAAGATATAAAATGTCATCCTTACGGTTGTTATTATATATTTTTTGGTAACAACTTTTGTGACATTAATTTAAATTATATTTTTTTATGCTTACAAGCAAAATTCTGTTAAGGATTTTATGACGTATAGCAATATACATTAAATGTACTCTTATTTCTCATTACAAGGACTATAAGGATGTGTATATAAGTTCTGTTGATTATTTTGTGTTTTGAATTGTCTAAAATCATTAGACAAATATTTGGATTCGGTAGTTGATTTTGATGTTATTGGTTATCGGATATCATCTCATTATTATTTTTGTTCTTAAAGTACTTAAAAGATATCCGTAATTGCTTTGTGTGTTGTTGTTGCTTTTTCAACAATTTTCAAATATGTGTTTTTTGGATATTAAATATAATAAATTTAACAGTGGTTAAATGAGTAAGAAGTTTGTTTAATTTCTATATATGTAACTTTCGCTTAGTTACGAAAAAAATTTAAATAAATATAACAATTAAAAGAATAAATATAAGAAATTAAATACCCCAAATAAAATTCATTATTATCAAAATTCTGAAAAAAAAATTAACGATTTAATTTATGAATTTTAAAGAAGTTCTAAGAAGTTAGTATATTTTAGGCTCTTTTTAAAACAATTAGGGTTTTCAACATAATTTATTACATGAGATTAGATAATTATATAATATTCTTATTATTATATAATTAAAAGAGGGTAGAAGAATAATTACTTTAAACACAATTAAATTTTAAAGAAAAATAATTCTCTTCTAATACCTTAAATTGGTTTATTACTACAAACGCCTTATGTTCTCGATGAAATATGGTAAGGCTACCGTTACTGACATAGAATTTATTTACTTTTATACGACTCTGCTACTATGGTTAATAGATTTTTATCATATGTAAGGACATTATTTACTAATCGATGTGGATGTTCTATACATACAGTAGATATAATTGTAACGAATCAGTTCATATCGTTAGATCCCCGATAGATCCCCATTATAATATAATTTATAGATAAGACTCTGCAAAATTACTGCCAAGAGAATATAGTTCATACTACTTCTTGGGACAATCATGGGCATATAGTAAAATCCGCAATTTAGTTACATTCATAAGATTAATTGTGGAATAGTTTACTTAAACTTAAAATTTTTTCAACTAAGATGTAATCTTTGTTATTTTCAAACTTTGGGCTAATTAAATTAGGAAAGAACATTCACTGAAACCGAGCAGATTCTATAAAAATATTAGTCTATAATACATCTTAAGTAGTATCCCTTCTTTATCTACTTTTACTCTTTACTTATATATTTACTTCGTGTAGTTTTAAAACGCTAATTAAATAGAAATGGTAAGTGAATGGAATAATAGAAATAACTTTTAGTACACAAATGTGTCAAATCCAATGCTTCAGTCCATTGATCTGGATTTAACATAGTAATTCCAATGGGAATTTATTTCATAGTTTTTTCAGTAAACTGTATGGCAATAAAAACTGTATAGTTAAGAGCCTATATGACTGATTTTTAAACGTTAATATTATTCTATATTCAGATAGTCAGGCAGTTAAAAAATTTATTCAATCCTAGACCAATGATTCCAAGTTGGTCATAAACTGTTAATATCACATATATGAGTTATCTACTAAATATAAACTAAAATTTGTCTGTATACCTGATTATTAGAAATTCGATTTAAACGAAACTGCTGATAAGTTTATGGAAAAGAATCAACCTTCTTCGTTCATAAGATGTGATGTTTTTTGCAGAATATCCACTTGTCAGATTGGTCCAATAATTGAAAACATCGAATATCAAATAACCAATTCGAGCCAACAACAAAAGTTCTAAATAAGTCTAAGCTAAAATTGAACACTGAACCAGATCACATTGATTTTCTAGTAACTGTGAAAGATGGACCTAATGGACACTGACACCTGCAGATACTGTAAAGAGAGAAACTTCTTCTTCATAAGATGGATCTGAAAATGAGTCCAGTACCTTTATTCGACTTCTACTGAACAAAGTGTTGTTCAGAATATGGAAGAGTGATAGTACAATAGATCTTATAGGGCGCTTAGTATGATAGTATAATAATAATGTATGTATAATTTCTTTTTTTAATAATATGTAAAATAATTATATATAATTATAAAATAATAATATGCATTAATAACACATATAAGAAAAATATATTCTAATACAATAAAAATATTAGAACTTAGTAAACATTTATACTGAATACATAAATAAATTTACGTATGTTAATATAAATAATTTTTAACATAATTGTTTTGTATTTATTTTTTGTTAAAAATTTGTTTAATTTAGTATTTATTTACTTAATATTTGTCAAAATTAATTAATATAAATTGTTTCTATTTTTTTTTTAATTTCTACTTGTAAGTAGGATTTTACTGTATTTATATTTTTTGAGAGATAAAAAATGGTTTATTTAATTTATTTTTTAAACAAATAAACATTAAATAAGTTTTTTTTTTAATTTATATCTTTGGAGTGTAAAATTTAGCTTAATTATTTAAATTCTTTTTTAAATAAATAAGCATCTTATATAATAAATATACATATATAAAAAAATCATTTAAGTAAACCATTTTGTTATTCGTTAAAAAATTAAAATAATAAAGTTAACTATTTTATAGCTTCAAATAAAGGTAAAAGGTATTTCTTTTTGAAATTACCCACAATAAAATGAAATGTTTACAAACGCCCCATCATTTACAAAAGTTTACCATCAACTATATTTTAACGCTTGCAAATGTAGGAGGAACTCGACATGCGATTAAAATGCATCTAAAGGACATTTAAGTAAACGCGCTTGCTGTGGTGTGTAATTAAGGCTGAAATGCATAAAGCATGTAGCATAAGCGGCAAGGAGTTTTAAAGGTGGTACCAGTGTAATTTGAGGAAAAGTATTTCAATTATTTAGTAGCTCAAACCATAATTTTATATTCGCTTCAACAAATCGATTTAAAAGAGATATTTAGTTTCAGGACGCTTTACACTTTTTTCCAATAAAAATATTACTTCTTATTGATATAAAAAATTAATTTAAAAATATTCATTATTATAAAATATATAAAATTTATTAAATTTACAGTTTTCATTAAATTTTTATTAATAATTTTGTTGAACTAAATATAGTTACTCATACGCCCCGTTAACCTACATAAAAACCTATAATATGGTTATTGTTATTCTAAGTTAAGTGTCAGTCTCTGTCGCTATTTTTCTCTCTCTATTAATTATGATAATTAACAGTCTTAAATAAGTTTTTAATTATTTTTTAAATTATATGTTGAAATGAATTTTATTATAATGGATAACGTTATCCATTTCGTGGTTAAAATTTGGCAGCACTGTTTCGGCGACATATCTTACAGAAAACTATCATTAAAGACATTATGCATTTAACTAAAAGTTTGCTATTTTAAAAAAGAAAAACTCTTATAACGGCTAAATGTGTTAGAATTGTAAAAAATTAATAAGAAAAATGGGCAAATTTCTAGTATAGAATTTTCTTCAGTAATGAGACTCATCATTTTTCGCAACTAAATGTTAAAACTCTAAGATATCTGCATTTGGTGTTTAGTCTGGAGTTGTAATATACTTATATTTTTAGAAAACAAAAAAGACGTCACATAAACCGCCAATTCTTAATGCTACAGCCACATGATTACTAACTTTTTTTGGCTTAAAATAGAAGATATAGATGTGAAAAATAGATGGTTTCAACAGAATGGTTCTACAGGTCACACAATATCTCCTGTTTAGACTTTGCATCGTGAGAAATTTTATGAAGATTTTTAAATGATTGAGGTTTTTCGGAAAACCTTTTTGTGTTGTGCTCGAAATTTAATAAAAATTTTAAAAATTTTGAAGTTTTTTCAACAAAATCAATTTTAACTATTATAATTTTTAAGTCTATTTAAGTGCAAAAACATATTGAAAATTTGTTAATATTGAAGCTGTGCTATATTAAACTGATACTGTTTGGATACATCATTTTTACTACTATTGGTGTTTTTTGAGTGTGAGATTTTTCCATGATGTTTTTTATTTTATATGTCTCAGTTAACATTGGAAATAAATCCCACTCTCATATTATATTTTCCAATCCTTAGAGTATCTAAGATAATCTAAGTAAACAAAGTGGTAGTGTACAAAGAGGGTATCAAAATATAATTTTGAATAAACCGACATTTATATTGGGTGTACTTAGTTTTTATTTAAACATACAATATTTTTTGAGATTTTTCTACATCTGTATTTTGAGCATATCATATAAATATACATTAGTAAAATCTGAATAAAACTTGATTACTTTTAATATAAAATCCAATAATTTAATTAAATAATTATTGTGTTGATAATTATTGTTCTTTTTTTTGAATTTTTTATATAAATTATGTATAATATTAAAATTTCCTAATATGAGATA